ACATGCTTCACAAAATTTTAAAGAGATGTCAAAAACCCCGGACGGGCCTGACGAAACACTACTTAATGTCGTGATAGTTTATTTAAAAAGCACCAACAAGAAGCTATTTACGGCGTGCAAGACAGAGGTCAGTGTAAGATTCGGTCTATCAAGGCGATATTAACGCCTTAAAGAAATTAAACGCTTAGGTTAAGTCTAAGTATAGTGAAATTTGAAATAAATAAACGAAACGAGTCTTTAGTAAAGTTAGGTATGCCTCGTAAAAACAGCAATACTCTGAGGCATTGTGAGGCTGAGACATTGCCTATATATAATCCTCTCAGTACTGTTTTCGCCGAAGGGATTTTATTTAGTGTTTCGTTGTCGCTCTATTAAAAACTATGGTATGTTTCGTTGTGGCGAATCCGAGAGTGTAAGATTCGGTCTAATAAAGGCGATACTAATGCCTTAGAATAAATAAACGCGTGGGTAAATTCTATATATCGTGTAAATATCGATATAAATTACCGAAATGAGACGTTCAATAAAGTTAGGTTTGCCTCGTGAAAACAGCAATACTCTGAGGGCTTAGACATTGCCTATATATAATCCTCTCAGTACTGTTTCTGCCGAAGGGATTTTATTTAGTGTTTCGTTGTCGCTCTATTCTGGGGCGAATCCGAGAGGCTCATAAAATCCTATCTTTAGAAAAAAGAAATAAAAATAAAAATACTCTTGATGTCTTTAGTTATTGTCTTAACCAATAGCTTGCCACTATCAAGAATTAGCGACTTAGCCTTCATCAGACTGGCACATCTGGTTGGCTTATCAGAGGATCAACTAGGTAACATTAATAGTCCCTAGAAACCTATATTCGGTTGAGCCATCTCGCTACCGAAGTATTCAGATATAAATAAAATTGGAAAGTAAATAAAGCTCTATTAATAGAACTAGACCAACTCTTTTATGTTTGGTATTTTACTGAGGCCTTTTAATGGCCTCATCCAAATAGCTGATATGTTAAATGGAAAAGGTTTAACTAATAAAACCATTAAAACCCATTTTAGGAAACTTAAGTTCCTCGTGCTATTAAGAGCACATTTAGGAGACTTAAGTTCCTCGTACTATTAAGAGTACATTTAGGAAACTTAAGTTCCTCGTACTATTAAGAGTACGTTTATAATTTGCGTACTGCTTAAGAGCACGTTTATACATAGAGTCTAATGTGGAGGCCCGGCTTATTACAAAAGACTCATAAAATCCCAAAAAAAAAAAAAAATTGTACTCCTGATGTCCATAGTTATTGCATTAACCAATAACTTGCCACTTATCAAGAATTACCGACTTAACCTTCATCAGACTGGCACATCTGGCTATCTGAACGGAGGATAAACAAAGCAACGCTAATAGTCCTTAGAAACATATGTTCGGTTGAGCCATCTCGCTACCGAAGTATTCAGATATAAATAGATTTGGAAAGTTAATATAGTTCTATTAATAGAACTAGACCAAATCTTAAGTTTGGTATTTTTCTGGGGCCTTTTAATGGCCTTGTCCAAATATCTGATAAGTAATATGGAATATTAATTAATAAAACCGTTAAACCCCATTTAGGAATCTTAAGTTCCTCGTACTATTAAGGTCTGCCCCGGTGGCCAAAAATTCACCACCAGCCACTTTGCCTGCAACCAGCAACTGATCCAATGCATCATAGTAGGCCCAAAACTGCCTCTCATTGGCCCTGATCTCCTCCAGCAACTACAGGAGTGCCTCGACTTCCATAGTATCTGGACCCTCCACGAACACATTGGATCTTTTCTCCAGCATGTAGAACAACTCCTGTACCCACACCTGTCTCTGACATATCAACAGATGTTTCCTATACCCTGGCCAATCACGCTGTTGAAGTACTACTTCCAAATTTCGGTACAAACCAAGTCATCGCGCCTGTTGGTTCCGCCTATGATACTTCCAATACAGGCAAACCAACACATACCGAGTGCATCCGTGGTCTGGTGCAGCATCGGTTCACCCCCAACCTCGCTCCTTAACCGAATTATGACGGGTAACCTGGTCCTACTCGGTATTTCGTACTCTGCACTAACCCATTCCACATCACTACACGATAAAGACCCGATCTGAACCACAGCGGTGGGTACGCTATTTAGTAGGTCAGCAAGCGAATACGTGGCACACTCGATGGTGTCAGTTTTTTGTCAGCACCGGCTTGAATTGACCCAGCGCATTTCTTCCATTGTCGACTCACTTGGTCCAAGCTTCAACAGAGAATTTACTGACCACTTCTTCCCATCGATCTTCCCCGAACCACTACAACGGCTACGAGAGCCATACCATAAATACAAGCATTGTAACTTAACTCCTTTGAAATTAATAATATTATCCCGACTATGAGAGCCATACCATATGTTCATACATAGTATCAGACATACTTGCCATTTTTGAAATAAATAATATTATCCCTAATATGAGTACGTTTATAGTTTACATACTGCTTAAGAGTACGTCTATAACATAGAGCCTAATGTGGAGGCCCGGCTATTACACAGCCTCCACCCAGCTTTTGAGACCCGGGAGAAGCAAGTTGCTCACTCAAGCTGATTATGGGTCAAAAAACGAGGAAGGAAAAACGGGTCGAAAACACTAAGTAAAGTTAATTTTTCTCAGGTGGAGAAGTTAAGCGTTCTCGGTTACCCTGTGAGTTTTGGGCTTAGGTCCAGTAGGTCCCTGGTGGTCGACTAGACGTTTCTTACGCTTTAGTGTCATAAGCACCTATGAAGGGTGAGCAATAAAGCTCGGGATAAATGCTGTAGGCGGGTAAGCTTTAATTTCCGTGCCTTCAGACGTTGGAAACATGCTATCTTTTTCAGCTTGTGACGTATGCAGGCGTTTACGCCATTTTCGATTAAAGGCTTTTAAACAGTTTTGATTATCTGAAGTCAACTCAGCGATTGTACTGTCTATAAAGCATGTACGATAGTATCTATAGCCTCCCTTATCCGTTCTCCATATAATGCCTTTAAATTCAGAACGATCAAGAGAGGCATTAGAGTCATGTCTTCTTGCGAGAATAATCTCAGTAGTCGGAATCCGAATAGTGCCTATATTTAAAGTACTGGAACCGTCGGGTTTACTAACCTCATAGGTTTCACTTTTAACGTCAGCTACAGAGATTGTACATGGTCCTATCCATTTAGATGTTAATACAGTAGCATCGGAATTACGTTGACGGATGTTAACTCTGTCTCCAACCTGATACTCTGCTATCTTTTTGGTAGCATTCCATCTATTTTGCCATTAAATAAGGCAATATTGCGTGTTTCGCGCAAGCAAGGATAAATAACGTTATGAATACGTTGTACCTTCTCTAACCATGGTAACTCATGGTGATTAGGTTCGTCCTTGTAAGTCCGGTACAAAGCGTGATAACATATCCGGTATATGGATATATATCCCTGGTAGATGTTTGATATCAAAATAAAACTTTGATAGTGTATATATCATGCCATCGGCTCAGTAATTGAGAGTCTGGCTTCATTTCCTTCATATATTGAAGGGACTTCTGATCACACATCAGCGTAAAAGCTGTTCCGTATAAGTAATCTCGGAAGTGTGTTAAAGCTGCTGCTATGGCTAGTAGCTCTTGCTTCACAGTTGGATAATTCAACTGTAAAGCATTCATTGCCCAGCTAAAGAATTGTATATACCTAGGTTTATTATCTATAAACTGGTATAGTACACCTCCGAGTGCTAAGTCTGATGCGTCCGTTGCTATTTCAAAAGGCACGCCATCGACTGGTCCTTGTACAACATGGGGCTGGTTGGACTGCGTGCTTGAGCGCTTTAAATGCGGCATCGCACTCTTTAGTCCACAAGTCTCCTAGTTTGCCTTTATGACATCTTAAGTGTCCAACAAAGTGTCCAATGTGGTACTCCGTCTGAAAAACATTTTACAAACCCACACATGCTGTTCACATCTCTTCCTGTAGTTGGTGTTCGCCAATCTAACAGGTGTTCCACCTTACCCGGATCGATTTTAATACCTTCCCCAGATATATGGTAGCCTAAGAGCTGTATTTCGCTCATGGCGAAGTGGCATTTCTTCTCGTTAATCTTGAAGTTTTGTTCGTTGAGTCTCTGCAGGACTCGCCTGACTAATGCGGCATGTTCGCCTTTAGTCTTAAAAAATATGACTATGTCATCTATATAGACTTCCATGTTAAGCATGTCTGCAAACATTTCCACCATTACTTGTTGGAAGAATGCTGGTAAGGAGTGCAACCCGAAAGGTGTATTGTTTACCTTTCTAGGTAAACTAAAGTACTTACGATGGGGTTCATAAATTTGCATTTGATGATACCCCTGTGTTAGGTCTATGGATGTAAACACCGTAGCACCTTCCATTCGTCTCAGTAACTCGTTATACGAGGGAGATGGAAACTATGAGTCGACAATAACATTTGTTGGACTCATATCTAGGCATACTCTGACTTTCTTATATGTTCCGTCAGAGTTGTGTTGACCAACTGCCAATAATGCTAAGTTAACTGGCATTTGTGGGTAATTGATTTCGATTACCCCATCGGATAACCATTTCTCAACTTGTTCTTTAACTACAGCTTCATGTCTCCAAGAAACATAGTTTCTTGAAGGGCATTTGAGATTAGTAAAGTCTACCTTGGTTAAGTCAAGGCTGCCATATCCGTCGTTAAAACGGAATTTTGCCCAATCTGTGATCTTTATCTTCTTATCTACTAGAATCAGATCCATGATTTTGTCCGCAAAGTCAGG